AAAAATACATTGTGATGGCAAACTTGTAACATCTTTTCAAGACTAAAAATGGTTGTACTTAAAACTTGGAAATCCACAGAACTGGAGTATCAAAAAGGTAAAATGAGAATTTCCTCAATGCTTAGTCTGATTGATTAGTCCAGTTGATTTTGATGCCAGTTCACATTGATTTACACTGTTTATATTTTTAAAAAAGCAATTGAAAGAAATAAATGTGACTTTCTAGACTTGGGATAGTCGGCTCCATACACTCTTAGGTCCAGTCTTAAATATATATATATATATATATATATATATAAAGATCCATGAAAACAAAGCAAGGCACTACTACACCCAAGTATTTTTCTAGCTCTTTTTTTGTGTAGATGCCTTGATTGATTTGGGCTGGGAGGGTTCTGGCTTTCATGCATTATCACAGTGCAGATACAATATGATGAGAGCATTTAGAATCACAAAAAATTAATAGCTATCTAAATTGGACCCTGAAGTCAGAATTGGATAATTTTCTTGGTTCCCAGTCTCAGCTCTTGTCCATATCTTTATAGGAAACTTGGAGAAGTTTTACTTTTAACTACTCATTTGATTTTCACCCTAGAAGGTTTTTTTTTCCTTTTTTAATTTGCCAGTGGCTATTTTATTTTATATGGGAATATCTCCCAGAAGACCAGACTCTTTATTGCCTTGAAATCAGACTGGGTCTCGGTTCCACTCCTTATGAACGTGGGCAGAGCACTTAACCTCCCATTTGTGAAACGGGAAGTAACTTCCCTACTTAGATAAGATAATGCTCAGAAAATCGCTGTGGACACTTACAGAATTGGGAGGCAATCTTTTTAAGGGTAACATTTTAAAGTATGGGGAGAGAGAAGAAATTACACTAGAGTACCTACTAAATGCTATAGCTTTTGTCAGATATTTTACATATAAATTAGCTCTTTTATCCTCTGATGTAGGCATTATGGTCTTCATTTCACAAAAGAGAAAACGATGGTTCGGAGATTAAACTGTGGCAAGTCTGATGTTCACCTCTAGTAAATGGTGGCACCTGAGTTTGAATTCAAATCTACTTCTAAAGCTTATGACCTTTCTACTACTATGTGCAGTCAAATATTTTGTAAAATATTTGCTACAAGGTAGATTATGTTATCTCCAGTAACCTGAAATGCAGATTGGAAGTTAGGTTTCGAGAAACGTTTGGAGAGCAGCTCTCTACAAGCTTATAAAGGGATTGGAAATGTGTACCTACTGCAACTGATACCCGCAAACTCTGGCCCCCAAATAAACCCAAGGGCTATGCCTTTGGAGTTAGAACACATCCAGAAGTTTTCTTATTTGTTAAATGAAGGGGCTAGATGAAATGCTTTCTAAAGTTTTATCATGCTGTAGAGTTCTTATGGCAGGAGGGAAGTAAGACACACATGTAATATAAACACCAGTGTTTCTTTCCTTCCTTCCTTCATTCAACAATATGTAGTGTGCACATCTTGTGCACCAGGCACTCATGCTAAGCACTGTTTCCAAGTTAAAGAATTATATTTGCTAGATGAATTTCCTTTCTTAATTAATTGTTTTAGTGTGGAGTACATTTAAGAGCCTGGAGTACCAGAACTTCGTAGAGGAAGACATAATTACATTTCCCATTTAACATTCCTCTCAACCCTCCTGAACTTGCTTCTAAGCATATTATAAAATTAAATATACAGTTCTGAATCTAAACTTAAAAAAAAGTTAAAAATATGAATGAAGACAAACAAGGAAGAAATAACACTTTTAACAAGATATGGTATGAGTATTGCAAATATTAGTATAATAGTGCTGATCATAGTCTGAAATACAGTTCTTGCAAATGCAGAATTCCCACTCTCTCTCCCTTCCCCCCCTAGATAAGCAGTGAATACTTTGAACGAGTTATGTCTCAGTTATTCACGGGTTTGTAGTATAGAACTGAATTCTACTCTGGCAAAGGAAAACCAGTACACACTTCCACAGTATTGCATATGTTGACATATTAAAAACAAAACAAGCCCCTGAGTGTTTTGTTTGTCTTCTATTGAAAAATAATATCCTGAAGAGTATTAAACACAGAAAAAAAGTTAAAACCAATGTTTTCCAATATGTAAAAATCCTGGATCTGTGCTGGTTTACAAACTAAACTCCTAACTTGTTTTGCAGCCTTTGTGAAGTTTGATCAGAATGATTAAATAATGTGGGTTTTAAAGAACAATGAAAACCTCCCAGGTCGCCGCCACACAGCCCAGCTAATGTGTTTCTTCTAGACGTAGTCTCGGAAGAGGGTTCAGTTTACATGTAGCACTGGCCTGAAGACCAAGGAGCAACTTTGCTTTTAACAAGTCCGGGTGATAATCATGATATTTTGCCCTTCAGTGAATGGTGTGAATTTTATTTTTGAGTAGGCTTTTTGTAAAGGAGAGGCTCATTTTAAAGTCCTCTTATTTGCAGGGCTTTCTCTGTCTTTGAGAGACTTGCTTTCTCTGACTTTGAAATGCAGCGCAACTCTTTTAGAAAACAACCCTCTCTTCAACAGATTTTAGATACACCTGGATCGCATCATGGCCCCTGAAACACCACAGCCACACAGAGAGAGCCTGGGGCAGCACTGTTAGCCTTTACAATCAACAGCCTCCTCCTCTCCACCCCACCTACCAGCCCCATGCCCACTGAGAAGGATTTCTATCTTCCTTGTTTGTGTAACTTACTATTGGGTACACTGTGCAATCTTCCAGTTGCTTCCAAAGATTAAATCGGACACTGCTTCTATACTAGGGAATTTTGTACTCATGTAACTCCCTATGTACTAAAGGGTTTCTTAAAAGCTTCATTCTAAAGGTGACAGATGGGTGTAATGGAATATTTGCATTGACTGAACCTTAAGAGATTGGACTGACTTGAAGGGAAACTTTCCCTTCAAGAGTTCCATGTTCTTAGGAGTGAAAGAACACTTATCGAGCACCTCATTTGTGGTGGGCACTCCACTCCTCCAGGAGGCGTTATCTCCATATCACACTTGAAACCAAATTCAGGTCCTCAGGGACTTGCCTAAAGTTGTAAAGCTAAAATGGCAGAGCAGGGATTTAAATCCAAGCTTTCCGAAGTAGAGTCTGTTTTCCTCTCCCCCTGAGACAACCCGGGGAAAGAGGGTGTGATCCCCTGGGCTCCCCTGGCCTGCACTCAGTTTAACTCATGCCCTTACGACTGAAGGTAAGACAGTGCCAGTAACCCCTGACAATAAAGGATTCCTTTGTGGGGCCCTTCAAAATAGTAAACAGTGATTCAGAGGGCCCAAGTCTGACAGTTAGATAGTGCTCCTGAAGGCTACCAGGTTTCCTTCTGTTCTGGGAAATTAGCTGAATCAGTGACAATTCGAGTTAACTAAAATATCTCCTGATGGTAGCAAATGAGTGGATACTAAGGGGAAGTAGCATTGTTAGGAGAGCAGGAGCCCAGTCTTTCGAATCCAACAGAACTGGGTTCAAATCCCAGGTCTGCCATTTACCGGCTTTGTGTGTGACCTTGAGGTGTTTACCTCACCTGAGACTTAGTTGCTCCTCTGCAAAATAAGAGAAGTAATAATGTCTACCTCATAAGTCTGTTGTAAAGATTAAAATAACACATGTGAATGACTTAACCCAGTGCCTGGGTTATTTTAAATGCTCAATAAATGTGAACTAACATCACAATCATACAGAGTTTGGGTTAATTGATGGGACATGTTGGATAGTAATGCCGGGTCAGGGAGATGGTATTTGATAAGAAACTTTACGGCTTATTTTGTCTATTGTCTGTCTATCTATCTGTCTATCTACCTACCTATCATCTGTCATCTATCTCCATCTATTTTTACCAGGCAGATTGAAGAAAGAAAGAGCAGAGTCTCATTTGGCAGTATAGACAGTTATTACAGGAAATGTTAGTATCATTATACCAAGTCTCTACTGGTTACTAACTCAGGTAACAACAGTAAAATGCAAAACAAGTTATCCTGGCTCAGGTTACCTATATTTTTGTGTTTATGTAGCCTTGGGATGATTCTCTTATACTGAACAGTATGTACTAAGTTTTCTTTATCCTAAAATGTACAAACGTTTTTATAGAAGGTGTACGTGATGGGTGTGTGTTGGTGTATTTGGGCATTGAAGGAGGGGTGATTAGTTTATAATGTTATTACTTTGAGTTCAAAAGGGAAAAAACAACTGTGATACCAGAAAAATCTATGAAGTAAAGCAATGAAACAAACTCTCAAGGTAGTTAGCGGTATATTCATGTCAATTCTGTGTTGACTGTGGAATTATTAACAATGTACATTTTTGCTAATTATTATTGTTAGCATCCCTAGTTTCCATTTTAGAGACAAACATTGATGATTTCTGCCAGCTTTTTTTTTCTCTTTGCTTTAGGTGAACTGATTGACCTGTGATTGTTTTTGGCAAGGAATAAGAAATTAACTATGTAGAAGTATGCAAGTGTTTGTTTTTTTTTAATTAGAATCCTTATGTATTCTTTCTTACATTTAGACTTGCTTCTGACTAGCTATGTAGGTAGAAGTGCTTTGTAAATTATAAAGCAATGTATCAATATTAATTTTTGTAACTTTAGCTGTGACGTGGAAAGAAAGTCATCATTTAAGAAACATTTTCTAAAACACTAATTTATGTAATTATGGATATGTGAGAATACTTTTTAAATTATGGACAGAAAGAAAAGCAAAATAACTCTTTAAAAAAGCATTTTTATGCTTTTCAGAGGGAGTCTTTTGGGCTGAGGGTTGCACAGATATCTCTTTATGTCATGTCGTGAAAAACAGGGCAGAGGAATCTACTCAAACATGGAGAAGATGAACCCTAAAGGAGAAAGGATTGTCAAAACAATCTCAATACCTCATCTGCACACCAGAACATTCTTACTTGAAATGTGTCCCTTGGTGGAACACTTATAAATAACATCAGGTAGGAAACGGTATGACTTCCTTTTTCATTTTGCAGAAAGCAGAAGCCACTGGAGAAAAACGGCCAAGAGGCAGACCTAGAAAATGGGTGAGTAATAAGATGTAATGTTCTTTTTGTTTTGTGCTTTTGTGTAATTAGAAATTTCTGTTTTTAAATGAAAATTACTTTTATTTTATCGATGATATGAATTTCTAGCTTCTGTTTGGTGAATGTTTGAAAGGGTTAAGACGAGCGGTAGATTATCACGGCTCCTCACAGGAGTTTACTCAGGACGCTTTTCTTTCCCGGAGTGACTCCTTTTTCCATCTCTTATCAACATGAAAAGAGTCTCCACTCTTCCTTCCAACGGGGTAACAATGAGATGACTTGTTCGGTGGGTTGAGTAAATAAGGTTAAAGGGTATTATAAAACCTTGGACATTGATTACAAATGGTGATAAAATTCAGATGAAATGTGTATGAGATAACTTTTTAACATTTTCTTTTCTTTTCTTTTTTTGTTTCCTCCATGGCGTTGCTTGGACACATCCATTTTCTAGGTGGTTCGTATTTTCTTTTTCATATTGCCTTTATTAGGAAACCAGGTTTTAATTTCCAGTTTTCTTGCTTCCCTTAGTCGTTCTTACATACCGACATTAGCGACAGTGGCTTCCACGCAAGTGCACTTGGTCCTGTAGGCACACAGATCCTGTATCTTCTTGAGGCCAGAGAATCAGTGATCGCTGAAGAGCTTCGCCGATTTTACCACTTGTACCCGTGTGCCCTCTGCTTCTACACTGCCCAGGTTCTTCTGGTCTCTCTTTCCCACTGACAGAGGAGCAAAGTCTTAAAAAAGAATAAAACCATTTCTCAAAAAAGATGAAGGCATCCTCCATACCAGCATCTTCTATGGTGGGGTCTTGGCCTTCCTTATCTCTCTTCCCTGGTTTATTCTTCATGCTTCCTCTTTATTAAAAGTTTACTTGCTGCTATGCTGGATTATGTTTTCCTGTTAGTCTGCCATTCCTTTCTCCTCTAGAGTTGTGCATCGCTTTCTATTTATACTTTGGTATTCTCTTTCATTTAATTTATTCATCTTGTATTTTTTTCCTCTGCTCAACATGTGTTGGGATTAGATTTCTTAGCACATGGAAATGGGGATGATCTTTAGATTAAAAACATCTCAGTGTTACAGTGTAACCTTAAAGTAAGAGCATTTCATTCAACCTTCTGGTCAATAAATGAATTCTCTCCAAACCTACCCACCAGCTGGTGATCATCTAGACTATGCTTGATTACCTTTAATGTTAGAGAACTCACTACCTGTTCAGGCTGCCCCTTCCTTCCTAGAAAGCTCTGAACATTAGAAAATTCTTCCATCTGACTCTCTGTAGCTTCTGCTCACTGTCCCTAGGCCTCCTGCCTGGGAATATACAGAATAATCGTTTTTACTTTTACTCATGATAGCCCTTCAAATATCTGGAGACAATTAACAGATACCCTTTGTTCTCTTTTCTGGTTTGAATATCTCCAATCCTTTCCATTTTTTCCCATAAAGGAACATTCCTGTTATTTTCTTCTGAGTATGTTTGTTTTTTAATCTTTTGAAATATGTCACCCAGAACTAAGTATCATATTACAGGTATGGGCTACATAACCAGTGGGTTTGTCACCTCTCTTGTTGTACATATGATTCCAGTTACCTATTACTGCTTAAGCAGCCACCCCAAAACTTAATAAGGTGGGAGGAAAAAGCTATTTTATTATGCTCATGGCTTCTATGAGTTGGGAATATGGACAGGGCACAGCAGAAAGGCTTGTCTCTGCTTCAGGATGTCCGAGGCCTCTGCTGGGAGGGCTCAGGCAGCTGGGGGTGACTGTAGTGCTTGGGGTCTAGAATCTGGAGGTTTCTTCACTCACGGGTCTGGTGCAGTTGCAGGATTGGCTTGAAGTCTGGGTGCGTCTGGGAGTGTCCACTGGAGCACCCACACGCATGACCTTTCCGGCTTAGTGGTCTCAGGGTAGGTAGTCAGCCTTCTGACATGCACTCAAGGCTCCCAGAGAGAATGTTCTGGCAAATGAAGAGAAGCTTCAAGGCCTTTTTTGACTTAGTCTCAGAAGTTAAAAAGTGCTACTTCCCTCATCCTCTAGTGAGCACACTCATGACTAAGTTGGTGTTGGCATACATATCCAGTATAGGTCTGCCATTTTCTAAGCCTCAGGACTTTGAAAAGACATCATATCCCGTTGAACTAACCAGTAAGAAAGACCTGTATAAACTTCCTAATAGGCAACGTACTAGAAAATAGATAGGTTCTTTGAAGTCATGAGATTAATGTTGCTAAAATGAAATGAAATACATTGTAAGCAGATACAATAAAGGTTGACCAGCTCAACAGCTTCCATCAGGTGTGGCCTCTTTTTTTCCCCAGCTGTACTGAGATATAATTGACATGTAACATTGTGTATGTTTAAGGAATGCAACCTGTTGGTTTGATACTTATATATTGCAAAATGAATACCATAGTAGCATTAGTTAACACCTCTATCACCTCACGTAATGATCATTTCTTTTTTTGTGGTGAGAACATTTAAGGTTTACTCTCTTAGAAATGTTCGAGTATATAATACAATATTATTAACTGTAGTCACCATGCCAGCTCCCCAGAACTTATAACAGGAAGTTTGTACCCTTTAACCAACATCTCATTTCTCCCATGCCCCAACCCCTGGCAACCACCATTCTACTGTCTGTTTCTCTAAGTTTAGCTTTTTTGAGATTCCTTATATAAGTGAGATCATACAGTATTTGTCTTTCTCTGTCTGACTTATCTCACTTAGCATAATACCCTCCAGGTCCATCCATGTTGTGGTGAAGGGCAGGATTTCCTTCTTTCTCGTGGCTGAATAATATTCCATTGTGTGTGTGTGTGTCTGTGTGTGTCATATATATATATATATGACATCTCTTTTATTCATTCAGCTGTAGACAGACTCTTAGGTTGCTTCCATATCTTGCCTCTTAACTAGCCTTTCAGCCTCTCATCTCTTCTGCCTTTGGTCTATCCTATAATGTTCACCAGTTAACCTCTGCAGGTGATGGTCATGTCACTTCTCAGAAACTTTCTGTGGTTCCACAGCTGGCCACTGAATTAATTACAACCTACCTAGCACTTTGAGGTCCCCACAGTCTATAGCCACCTATATGGCATTATTTCCCACCACTCATCCTCACACAGCCAATGTCTCAGCCACGCTAGAATAAAATATGGAGTAATTAAAGGATCTATATGTTTTTTCTCAATGGATTCTTGCTCCTTTGGGGGATATCTGGATTCCAGCATCTGATCTTCGTGCTGGATAAGAAGCCCATGTGAGGCACCACCATAGAAACTCTTGCCTTTCTGGGAATAATTGGACCATCCTCATTGACTCTCATGGTTTCTAATTTTTACTGGCTGTGAGAATGGAAAATATTGTGTAGTGAATTGTTACAAGTCCCTGATTTGGTCTCCAAAGAAGAGTTGTTCTACTTAGAAGCGGAAATAAAAGGAAGTTGTATATTTTTTCTAGACAGTGTGTTCCCTCTTTGCTAGGATATATTCTGTTGGGTAGAGTATGCAGCCAGTCACAGCCAGGCATTCAGTTCAATGTCATTCTTTACTGGAAAGCTTGTACTAAAGAAATAAATTACTGCATTTTCCATAGGAAATGGGCTTGTACTTTATAGTAAGTTCAATTCTTTCCAACAGTGTCATTGACTGATTTCCTTGTATTAGAGATATATTTTTGAACCGACTGGATTTACTAGGTACATGGCCTAAAAGCCAAATTGCTTCTTTTTTATTCTTTTGGGCTGTTTTGTTTTGCTTTAAAGTTCTTTTGCTTTTAAAAAGATGTCTTGTAAATCATATAGTGTCGTGTAACAAGCCTGGAAAAAAATACCTGCAGTATAACCCCCTCACCTGATGTGACTGGGATTCATAGTTGGTAGGTTACTCAAAAGTTGATTAACCAAAAGTATGCAGATGTAGGAGAGAAATTTGTGCCGGTTTTGCTCCTGCAGGGGATGGAGTGTTGGCTAATCCAGTGAGACATTAACTAGATTTGGGTTAAGACCACTTCTATTGTTAACTATATTCTCCTTTGCATTTTTTTTTTTTTCCTGAGTTTGAGTTAGATTTCAGATCTGTTATTTTGTTGAGGTTGTCTGTACTTTCACATTTTGTTTCTTTAGTATGGAGGGAGGAGAGAGAAGTAGGCACTAACTTTTCTCCTGGTCTTATAGTTGAGAGCTCAGTATCTGGACTCAGATGGCCCATCACTTGACTAACTGTGGAATCTTGAGCAAATTACATGACCTTTTAAAGGTCCAGTTTTCCCCATCTTTAAAAAGGTGGGGAGAGCACTACATTTCTCATAGAGTTGTTGTGAGGTTTAATTAAGATAATGCATACAATGACTTAGTAAAGGGCATGGTGCATAGAAAGTGCTCAGTAAATGTTAGAAATTATGATGAGTTCCACTGTATACTTTCATGTAGATATCACCTAAATATCTTCATAGATTTCTGAACCCTAACTACTCATAGCTACAGTGGGAGTAGCAGTTATGGGTCAAAATAACCAAGTACCCTGGATGGTATCATTATGGCCTCAATATATCTATGCTGAATAACATCAAGTTTAAGAATTGCTTATAAATAACACTGAAGTACATTTTAAATCTATTTGCAGCTAAGAGGAAAATTTTACATTGCAGCTTATAAGCCTTTCTTCTAATTGTAGAGGTTTGATGTCATGTGTTGTTCATCAGTTTGAAAAGTAGTATTTCTGCTGTTTGCTGTTTCAATATGTGCGTGCAGAGATGTTCTAGTTTCTTAGAACGTATAAAGAATTCCATTAGTCAGTCCTTCTGCCAATTGAAACTAGGCATTTAATATTTGCAGTTTTCAGCTTTTGCCTAGGAAAAGAGCTCATCACATAACTGATTTAGTGATGGGAAAATATTTGGAAAAAGTTTTAGAGAGTGGAACTAAGGCTCAAGAATACAATGAAATAACAAAGATGTTAACCTTGCATATGAAATGCTCCATCCAGATGTTGCTTG